ATGACACAAACACCGCCCCAGGACTTTCAAGAGCTTCCCGTGATTGTTGCAGACGGTGTGGAATACGTTCTGCTGGATCAGCTATGTGACCCCGTGAACAAGACAGAGGACGACAGGAACGTCATTCATGAGGCCTTGCACGAAGTCACAGAGTACGCCGTGCAGGGTCAAGATCTCATTGATTTTGTGCCAGCGTTAGCAGGAGAGGAGATCATTAGTGGCAGACCATTGTGGGGGGGCTTGTTGGGTTGTGCTCTGGAGCGGCTTGGTCTTGCAACCTGCGATGTCGAGAGACAGAGAGAAAGGGAAGAGGGTTGGAGGCTGATTACCAGCGAAACAAGGTTACCGGTCATTGAAGAAACCGGGGAGACATCAGCAGCACAAGATACGAGTGGGACGATGGTGGTCGACGTGTCTACCATGCACACATCAACGACAGAGGACTTGGTGTATATGAACATGTGTGAGGGTTTCTTCTTAGGGGAACAACAGTTGGCAGAGCACAGAGATGATGCAGAGGAGGAGGATGAGGAAGAGTACGAGGGGTCTGACGTGGAGGTGAGCGGCAACGACGTCAGCAGCGACGAAGAGGACGACGACAATGATTTGTACTACGATCTCAAGACGGTCTGTGGACAAGTAACCAAAGGTTGGGCACATGCAATCCTCAGGTTGGCACGAGTATTTCCCGATCCGCATAACGTGCTGCGTGTGGTGTTCAAGGGGGCGACACCTGATGGCGCAATGCAGTATGCTGCAGTGACCAGCATAATGCAATCCTTCAACAAGGGGAAAAAATGGTCACGTGTCGGCAAGGGATGGTTTGTTCAGGTGCACAGAGAGGCTGTGCTAGCAACATCACTGACATGGGGACTGAACCTGAGCTGCCTCCTGCATGGCGCAGTGGCCACAGCTTGGGAAGAGACTTTGCACCCCGGTTTGTCAATAGGGGACGCAATAGTTAGTGCTCGGCCACGGCACCACACACACACACCCTCACACAGCACGACAGACCACGTCAGACATCAGGGATGATGCCACACATGCATAGCACATGGCATTACAGTTGTTGTACAAACAACGTGTGTGGGTGTGTCTACACATAGATTGCTCAACCTGTACATCCCTCACCTTGTACATCCCTCTCCCTCCCCCTCAGTTTGAACAACCCTCGGGTTGACTACTGTGTACCATATTCGTGTTCACCGGAGTTCTCTGTTGGAGTATAGGGCCGAACTACTCTCTCTCTCTCTCTCTCTCTCTCTCTCTCTCGTTGTAGGTTTAGTTGAACCTGTATCTCTCCCACATGTTTACGACAGCGTGCAGACACTGCATAGTTCTTTCTTTCATGCAGTTCATTATTGTTACGATGTTTGTCACTCCATGTTGCTTTCTGGGGTGCTTAAGACTCATCAGACCGCCCCCTCTGAGGACTATTGCGTGTTTCGTGTGTGATTCTGTATCTTTTTTTTTTTTTTTTTTCGTAATTTTTGTAATTGTTGATTTTTTTTTCGATTTAGAGCACTTTTTTTATTTTTATTTATTTTTATTATTTTTTTTTTTATTTTTATTTTTCTGCTCGCCCGATCTCAAGTCTCTATCTTGAAGGTAGTGTACACGTCCGGGAAAGTGAGTCAGAGCTTGGCTCGTATGGGCAATCTCACTGATTACGACGGATACGTGGAAAACACATGCTTAGACGCATTTTCCACAACGTGCAACACTCACACTGCATAAGAAAACATTGTCAGCATTATGTAGTGCACATGCCCCGACCATATGTCTAAAATGCTAACGAAGCACTGTCCGCTTCGCTCTGTTTGTCTTTGGAATGCACTGCGTGCACAGGAAATGGACAGCGGTCCACGGGTGTGCGACTGCGGTAGACCTTTTATGTCCTTACGGACTTTAAGCTCGCATCGTGCGAGGGCATGCCCCGCCGTGGCGATTGAGGGAGCGCAAAGGCAGGAGAATGATGCTGCCCACGACCCGGGACCATCCAACATAGGTGCAGCCAATCTCGCTGGTAATGAGAGCGAGGACGAGGGGGCGAAGACGACGCGAATGGGGCAGCCGGTGATAACACAGAGCCGGCAGCGCAACCCGTCGAGCCTTTTGACAGCTCGCGCAGGCTAGCAGCGCTTATTTTCTGCGCCAGGGGCGGCGTCGGTATGTCACATACGGATGTTGATGCTCTCTTGTCACTTATCAAAGACCCAAGATTCAGCGCGACAGACATTGCGTACCGCAACAGTCGAGAGTGCTTCGCATGGGCGGGCAGTCTAGCAGAGGCCGCTGGGTGGAAGGAGTTGGATCTGCGTAGTGACGACTGGCCTTGAGAAGCGCACGCTATCTTGTGGCACCGCGATTGGCGAACTGCGTTCTTATCGATAATGCACGTCGCGTTGCAGAAATGCGAAACGGTTCATTCCCTCGAGGTGTCCCCGCCGTCGGAGGACAACAGTGTATCCGGTCCGCGCAGCGGGGCGCTCAGTTATCACACGCACTCAATCATTCGAGCGCTCAAAGGTGTCGACGAGAATGGATATTCACGATATGTAATCCCTCTCTCACTGTACTCCGACAAGACACACACAGACGGTCTTCAGAAATGGACGGCATACCCTCTTATGATGTCGCTAGTCGACCACGCGTCGGAAGCCACTCTGCTGGCCTATCTTCCCGTGCTTCATCATCGACCCCGTGACAAAGGATGAGGTCTACAGTCCACCGCATTTAGGAAGCGAAAGGCCGTCATCTTCCACAAGGCCCTTTCGACGGTCTTGCAAGCTGCGAAGGAGGCATCGCACGACGGCATCACAATACCGTCGACGCGATTCGGGGACGTGACTGTCCACCCTTTCCTCCTCAACTATATACAGGACTACCCAGAGCGATGTGCGCTGGCGAATGTGAAGTTTGGTGTATGCTCTACATGCACCGTGTCGAAAATGAACCTCGATGTCGTGGCCGATTTCACGGACAACAGGAGATCCCAGACGTTGGAAACTCAACTCACAGCAGTTGTGTTCACGGCGGACGACGATGACATGCGCTGTGCGGCGGAAGGGCGAATGGCGGAGTTGGACATGCATAGGCATGTTGAACAGAACGGCCTTTGGGGGTTCTACAGGGGGCCGAGTGGCGATGATCCTCAGCTAGACTACCACCTCGCATTGCAACCAGACCGTATGCACACGATCGAACACGGCATATTCCTGCACATGATCGACGCATTCACCGCGGCAGCCTTTGAGAAGTTACCGAACACACCGCAAACAGAGATCCTGAAGGAACTCGATACGAGATTGCAATGCGTTAGTGAGAGATGTACGCGAACATATCCCCAACTTGTGCTACCCGTGGCCACAGGCAACGATTTTTTTTCTCGAGAGGGACGCTTCGAGGCGAAGCAAAACCGGTTTGTGATGACAGTGTGCGTGTTCCTCATTTTTAATATAATCCCGCGCTCGATAGGCAAGGGCATTACCGCTTGTTTTGTTAATCTGATGCAAATGTACATACGGTTGTTTCGGCGCACAGCACACACTCGAGCTTCCCTCGACGAATGTGACACGTTGATGACGGACTTCGTAACGACCATCAAAGCGAAATTGGGAAGATACCAACCATCAAATTGGAAACTCCCGAAGTTGCATGATCTTATGCATATGAGAACGAGTATTGAGCGATCTGGTGTGACCGACACATTCGCTGCAGACGTTTGGGAGCATCACCACAGGAGATTCTGCAAACAACCGTACATGTCATCGAACAAAACGAAAGCGTCAACCCAGATGGTCAACCACGTGCGCCGGTCGCTGGCGTTGCAGGAGGAGACCGGATTTGTGAGGAAAAGGAGGAAGAGGGCCGTCGAGAATAGGTCTTCTGTGACGGACTGTATGACAACGGGGATGAATACCCTGGCACTACGCGATACGTCAATCCTTCAACTGAGCTAGTTCGACATCGATCAGGACCAGATATGTTAGGTGGAAGGCATTGACAGTCATGCGTGTAAGATACTTGAAAAGCTCCCTTTCAAAACCGGATTTCGAGCAGCGATTACGACGTACATGGTGGAGAATGGTTGTCAACCTCCTCCTGATGATCTCGCTATACACACACGAACACATCTCGCCATCGCTTGCACGCAGGACGGAACAAACAGGGGCACACTTGTTCAAACTGCACGAGCGTCGCCGCGGTTCCACGGGAGACTTGTGCACAGCGACGTCGTAATAAGAGCAGCCAACGAATGTACGTGGTTCGCATCAGTGGCCATGTTTTTCATCGTCGATGCACCCACAGACGGCGGTAATGTGGAACACAAGTGCGCTTTTGTGCAGTGGTACACAGAGGTTGACAGTGAACGGGAACACGTGACAGGTTGCAAGGAATTGAAATAGGAGAAGGCGAATGGACATCAGCACAACAGCGTCGTTTCAACCGACACTATCGTGGACACCGTTCACATTGTTCCGCGCTTCTGTAAACCACAATGGGGATCGAAAATGCATGCGGGCCACCGTGAGGACTGTTTTTTTTTAAACAAGTACATATTCTAGAAGGAATAAATTTGAAGTTTGAGAGAGAGAGAGAGAGAGAGAGAGAGAGAGAGAGAGAGAGAGAGAGAGAGAGAGAGAGAGAGAGACAGACTCATTTTAATTACGAGAAAATCTGTAAGTCTGTCTATTTCTTCTCCCGACAAGATGGTAATGCCGTTCTCGGCCGAAGTAAATTTTTTTAGTAGCTATAAACAACTATGATGTCTAACGCTGACATACCTACGAAGGAGAACCAAAACCTCATGCGAAACGAGAGTGTCCCCAAAAGTTGACTACTGCGTGACATTCACGTCATCAATAGTGACATTTGATTCAGTTTTGGCACGCAGTAGCCAGCCTTTCTCTCTTCCTCTCTCTCTCTCTCTCTCTCTCTCTCTCTCTCTCTCTCTCTCTGGCACGAACTCTCTCGTCCCCACCTATCTGCAAAGGGAAAATAAACAAATAAAAAAAAAAAAATTATAGCATCTCGACAAAAAACATTCGCCGTTGCTAAAAAACATAACTAATCCTCTGTGTCTTCTGCCTCTCCCTACGTGTGTGATTATGAACACAAAGTTGCGACACCGCAAAGCGGGGAGGGGGCGAAGGGGGAGAAGCGACACGGAACACAGAGTAACAAGGTGCAGGTAAGAGAAGGGATCAACGATGGCAGAGTCGCACAACAGTAGTAATTAGTCGGCCGCTGCAAAGGGGCCATACCAGCGCACCGAAACGGGTAATGGTGCCAAGGAGGGAAAACCGTTGTTGCCATTGAGCAGCCAGAGGTCAGCACAGAGCTGGCAGGACATGTTATCTGACCCATGGTGCGCGGAAATGTACGATTTACTGACTGAGGGTGAAGCAGAGTAGCCCCAGTCCTGCGGGGAACAGTCTTCCTGTTGTATGGGAAAACGGAAAGCAGGGGACAAGACAAGAGCGAGAGATGAGCAGACAGACATCACTGACGTGGTCGAATTGTTCCCTTTTACATGGAAATCTCCGCAACACGCCATACCCGTATCAAAATCCGACATTGAACGGTTGTCGGACGACGGATGGCTGAACGATAATATTATTGACATTTATTTGCAGTCTGTGTGCGAAGTGGTTGGGCGGGGCCAGGACAGGTCTTATGTTCACGTCTGCACAACTTTCTGGCACCCCGAGGTCGCCGCCAATGAAAAATTTGGGAAATTGATGAATAAAGGATGGGAGGACGCAATTAAGAAGAGACCACAGAAATTGCATCGACTATGCAACGAACTGCGATGCGCGCCGGTCACTGTGATACCAGTGAACCGTAACAAACACTGGATTCTTCTTTTGTTGCTGAATGCGAGGTCCTTCTTGGAGGTCACTGCGGACAACCGCATATCCGACCCTCCCATTGCTATCGTCGTTGACTTAATGAGAGAAAAAAAACGAGACGAATGGACGGCGTTGCGAACACTTTTGTGGCACGAGTACCTTCACGAGGCATCGAATTTGCAGGCTTTGACACCCGAAAAGGTTCATTTTTCGTGGGTGACATGCAGGGATCTGGCAGGAAGTAAACTTGTGCATGCGGAATGTCCGCAACAGAACAATCACACGGACTGTGGTGTTTATGTGTGTTGTATCACTACCACCGTAATACAATTTCTTGGAAGAACCGCGGCAAAGGATCTGACGGCCAAGGACGTACTAGAAGTTATCAAAACTACAACGGTGAACGAAAGAACTGTTCGACAATTTCGCGAGTCGATGGTGGACCGGCTTGCTGCCTGTGCTACAGTCACAAAAGGCAACGACACTATAGCGACTTCACAAGTAGCCAGAGCGTTGTAAAGCATAATAAACAAAAGAGAGAGCAACACTTCCATGGAATGAGATGTTGTCCAGGTCACCGAACGAGATGCGAGGAAAGTTGACTACTGCGAGCCAAAATGGCATGAAATGTGGGATGTGCGGATATGATTGGTCCACAGTTGCCAACCTTATCGCAATGATGGATGAGGCAACTATTCCGATGGTTTTTTTTCTAGAATTTTTTTTTTTTTCCCAGATTATGCGATCTCCTGCCACCTGACAATACAAATGCAGTCACTCTGACGCACAAAGAGGTTGCTCACTTGCATGACTTCGCAATTTCAAATCT